TTGCGCAATGTATCAATGTATGTATGTATGTTGCAATGTGCAATGTACAAAAAAATATAGAAATATATATTGTACATATATACACAGGGAGTAGTGCATAAATTCTCTCCTCTTCTTCAATTTCGTATTTTTTTTATGGTCTCTAGTGCCATCAACTATGAAACTCAATATTGAAACTTATGTATCGCCTTTGCATTTGTTCCAGACGTGTACATGAAAATCCCTGATTGTAATCAGGCTTCTTCACCGACTTTCGTGCTTGACTCGGATTCGACTCATCACCGTCGCTTCAAGCGTCGAGAGTTTTACACGACACCGAAGACCGACTTCCGGTTTAAGGAAGTGTTCCGTTACTGCTTTAAAGCGCGTGTCTCGTTCGCTACATGAACCGTTCTTTTCGGATTTGCTTGTTGGATTTTGATTGTCGTCATTCGATTGCTTAGACGACAAATGATGACTAGTATTTATTTCTACCAACATTGATAATTACAATTCTTATAATATTTTTTATACAGAGTAAAACTCTGAAAATTGTAATATAATCGGGCTAGGAACGATTTCTTGTATAAAAATAAATCAAAAATCCAGAATAAATTTCTTTTCATTTCAAATTTTTTGTTTATTTTCGAGAAACACAAGTTTGCAAGCTGTATTGAATAGCTATGTACTGCTTGATGAACTGATTTATCGTGCCTAAAACCAATATCCATGCCTCTATTTTCAGGTTGATAATGTTTTATTTTATTGTAGTAAAGAAGTAAAAAACCTACTTAATGAATAACATCAATGCTGGATTGGTCGTGGCGGAATGATAAGTTGGTGTGTACACTGTACACTATCCAATCTTACTCTTTTGTCTTTTACTAATGGGGCCAAATTAAAGTCATTGTGTATAAAAAGAAGAGACTGAAAATATTCATATGTTAAGATAAAAAATTATTGAACCGTTTGAAAAAGTGAATCCTTAAGACGTTATGTAAATATAATTACATTTAGTGTTTTTTTTTCACAAACTGTCTTTCAAACTATCTTTGTTAAATACACGAATGCTAAAAAAATTTATTCTGCAATTTTTATTAATTTTTATACAAGGTATCATACCTTGCTTGGCTGATTTTCTCCCATCCTGTATAATCTTTTAAAACTGCAACTATTTTAACTGTTATTATATGAAATTATAAACATCTGGTTAATTAGATCTAGAAATTTATCGATATTAATATTACATTAATGTAAATAATTAAAATATATATTATTGAGAATATTTCTTTAATTTGTTATAACTCTCTAAAAATAAAATCTAGACAATTTATATTCATATAAAATTTATTTTATTGTTTTGAGCTCTCAGCACATGTACCTCCTCAAATATTGCATTGAAGAATTATCCTATATGTTTGACAATCTGCTAAAAGAGAATTACAATAGACACATATCATTCGATTTAGATCAAATGTAGACTAAAGTGATGTATCAAAAACACTTTCAACTCACGCTTCATTTTTAGTTTTTGTAGTAACACATTGTCCGTCTCTTTATTATCTAATTATATTATAATAAATTTTATAATAAATTTGTCCACATACATAAAATTTGTCTTTTAAATAAGTAACTAGTAAATTAATTTTTCACAAATCTGGAATTAACAAAACGATAAGTGATTCATAAATAAATATTTCACGAATTAAAAATTATTTAACTATAAATTTGATAGAGTGAGAAAGTGAGGGGGGGAGTGAGAGAGAGGGAGGGA